CCGGTATATATATTTATAGATCGTTTGCAGTTTAGGACTGAGGACACTGCTCGAGATCGAATTGCGAAACTGTATAATATATGCCACAAGTATATACTTGTCAAGTTTTTACGCGTTAGTTCTTCACCATTTTTGTTAATATCCCCATTCAGTGCGACATATCGAATTGATTTCTTCCAAGCTTTGACAGGAGGAAAACAATCTATGCACGCTATGCTTATCGATTGGGTACCTATGGTCATCGCACCTGTAACAATTTAAAACTTTTAAAGCCATATCCTATTATTAGTTATTACAGTTTTTCAATCGCAAAGAGAATAAAAACATAAGCGTTTCATTATGTTTGCAAAAGATGTAAACATACAAATTTCGATAAAGAATATGATAATATAATATATTTTAAAAGAAAAATGTAGCACACACGTACATCACTCCAATGTTTAATTTTCGTAAATTTTTGCACTCGGTGAGGGCATCAATACTTCGCGATGTAGCGACACCGCCCGTTAAATCTATTATTTCCAAGCCAGGGCACGAATTTTTCAACTGTATTACAACTGCTTCTACATATAGTGGCGCAGAACTAGATATAACGCCGTTCAAATGTAAATTACGCATCCGGCGATTCTTTTGCAGTATTTTGCATAGAGGTTTAGCTGTTATCTTTGTCCAACTAAGGTCTAAATCCTCTAGAAATTCAAGATTTTCGAGATACGAAAATCCTTTGGCCGTTATATCATTCTGATAACAATGACTGAGATCCAATACTAAGAAAAATATATATAATTAGTCATGTACAATTTATTTGTAATCCTAATAATCATATTTAATTTATGTACTTATTACCTTTCAAATTTTTGCAGATCTTTGAAATTTTAAATAGGGCAAAATCATTAACGAATCGACAGCTACTTAATCGTAAGTGCGTTAAACGCCTGTCAAAAATGTTAATAAATTTTACGAAATGCAAAACAGAAATGTTGCTTGATGTAAGATCCAACTGTTGCAAATATTTACGTCTGGATTCACATCTGGCAAAGAAAACTATAATATTATAAATAAAAAAGCAATCCGTAAAGCGCATATTTCGTAAATTCAAATGTGTAAAGAGAAAAGAATCCTGTGTTAAACGATTGAGGTACTTATTTACTCTGCTCACATAGTAGAGCGACTTTATATCTAAGTTTTGTAATATTTTTAATATTATTTCATCCTGCAAAGATAAAATATAAAACTTTAATATATATATGATTACATTACAATAAATATTATAAAAAATAGACTTCTTCAAATACTTTACAGGAAGTGTAGAAAAACTGCAAAATGGTTGCTCTTTGGATTTATCCAAAGAGAGTTTGATATCTTTCATAAACTTTTTATTTTTATAAACTTTCTTATAATTCGAATGATCTCTTAATAAATGACGATTCATATATCTCTGCTTAGAAGATGGCACATTTTCCTTCTGAAATACTTTTTTGCGACTGAGATTGTTCTTGTCAAAACTTGTTGCTGTATCGCTGTGTAAATAACATTGAAACAAATTTATTTTCATTATTAAGAGAATAAAAAATATTGAATATTATTTAATGTCGATGATATATAATACCTTTTATAAATAATGCAATATTCAGTAAAGTTCTTTTGAAGATCGAATATATCCAAGTGTGCATTTTTATAATCAGGTGTTAAATTGTAGATGTTCCAATGGCAAGTATACTTGCATTTAATGCTCTTTAACAGAGTAGTTAAACTTTGTTTCGGATTTTTAGGAAGGATCAATTTTGATGTACCAATAAGCATTACAGCATCTCGCAGCGTGTTAAAGCTCCATAATTTGTACCTAAATTTTAATCTGAGTATTTTGGTTTTAAAGTTATAAGACCGTAAAGGTGGAGACAATAATTGTGATGTCGAAGGTACAATCCAAGGCTGTCCAGTCCATAATAGAAACCACCGATTTTCAGGATCTTGAGCCAAAATTTGAGTTACATATCCCAGATTATATACATCATATATAGAGACTCGGATTGGATATACAGCTTTATGAAACTTGAAATCTTTGGAATAAAAAATTTAATTATAATCTTTACTGAACACAAACGTATCTTCTTTAAGGATGTATTACCTATTACCTTCCCAGCCAAAAGTACAGTAATCTGAGTAATCCAATTATAAGTATCCAATTAGTATCCAATTAATTTTTTAATTAATTTTGTAAATTAAAATATTAATATCTTTTAAACAAGTCAGACAATCAATCTGAAATTTAACACAGGTTTTTAGGACATATAAGTGCACAATCTCTGTAAATTTCAGCTTGATCCCTTATTTATTTTGACTGAACGGACATACATCCTTAAGAATATTTACAAATACGCTGTTAATAATCATAAAAACTGGTTAAAATCACTTAAATCAGTAACATTAATGTCCTTGTTATGATATTAAATAGTAGTAAGCCGTTAAAGTATGCATACAACCGATATAATTGGATTTCTCAGATTACTGTACTTTTGGCTGGAAATAAGGTATAGGTAATACATCCTTAATGATATCTTATTTATCAATTCAAATGTTACATACCAATATAATTATAATGGTTAAAGTTACACTCATCTATATGAGTATCCTTTACAAATTGATAAACAAAGTCAACATGATCCTCTCCCGCCACTGCTCTTTCGACATGAGGATATCGGCTATCACTCTCGTAAGATAAAGGACGATAATGGGATGTCATATTCCTTCTCTGTAAAAAAAATAAAAGATAAAGAGTAATAATCTCTGAGCTTATTTTAGTATATGTCATTAAATGCTGCCATATTATAATATTATATATCTTGTAATTATACTATAAAGATTATGCATATATATACACAGTAAAAAACATTTTGTATTTGTGTTAAAATTTTCCTGTGTAGAAAGTTTTGTGTTACATTTCTGACACAGTTGTATGTTAATTTAACACATCGTTGTTGTATTACTTAACTTTTCTATGTTAAATTAATATTAACCATTTTTAAGAGTTAAAATAACACAATTTATATGTAAGTACATGAATTCTTGGTGATATATTTT